AGGAACTCGATTATACCTACCCTTCTGTCTCAGACTACGGCCATCCCGAGAGTTCCGTTCGGATCTGGTAGCGATCAGTTCTCCAGGCTGGAACCTACTCTGTGGTTGAGTCCCACCCCCCTGGCTCTGTTCTCTATTCTGCCGGTGATATGGTCTCTTATTCTTAGCACAAGGCAGCTTGTTGCCCTCACGTGACACGTGGCGTAAGCGTGTCTGCCAAACCGCCTGTGCGAATCTCTTGATCTCTTTCATACTAAGCTGATGTGTACGACTATGCAGGGTGACATCTGAACGCACGCAGCCATGCAGATTGTGCATGAAGATGGACTTGAAAGTTGGGTTCTCTTCCAAACCTGGAGCCTACGTCCCTGGAAATATGCAGATCTAAGTCGCCAGTAATAATCTTTGGGGGCCTCATGCTTCTGATGCAAGACACTGAAAGCACTAAGAAGGGCAGATGCAGGGTCAATGTAGGTGGAGTATTCCTGGCGCAAAGCATTGCAGAGCGCAGAGTACTGGTATCTGATCTCAGGCTGAAGGGTAGTCGTGAAGTTACGGACACTCTTGGAAGTTGTCTTCCAGATCAGCCTGAGTTTTTCTCTTGTGGATGCATCAGGTACCTCACTGAGACACAGGTTAATCTCTCTGAGGTAATCATCGATGCAGAGGTCTTTATCTGGATCAAACCGTCTACATCCTGTGCCATAGATTCAATGAGCCTTATGCGCATTCTTTGATCTCTGGTAGAAGGGAGCCATCCAGTCATCTGAGGTTTGGATATTCCTTAGCCGTGAATCCTGCAATGGGAACCTACAGGTAGCAGGAGGGGCCTGGTGTTATCTCTGCCTCTGGGGGCTGAGAAGTCACCCCCCTTCCTATGTGTGATTCAAACCTGTGAAGGTGTGAAAGGGTGTCACAGTTGTCAGAGAACTGGGGCGTTTCCCCAAGGAACGGGGCTCCACAGTCAAAATCAGGGAAAACTAGACTTATTTCCTCAGTCCTTGGTTATCCTGGCTGCTCGGTTCTTTACTGAGCTTTTTCAGCAGGGTTGTTTGATCTCTTAAGGGCTTGGTCCAGGATCAGAGTCATATCCTGACGATGTGTCTTGCTCCATGCTTACCTGTGCTCCCTGAATTAATTCAAGCATGTCCAACACTTTCTGCTTGGCAGTTTGTAAGTGCTGATTAACAGATTTGTTTCCTTTCTGCAAGGATCGGACCTTTGGTGGGAGTGTCCCCATGAAATCACGGACACTCCTAGCCGTAGTCTTCCAGATCCGTTTCAGTTTTTCATGTGAGGACGCATGAGGCAGGTCAAGGAGACAATGGTCAACTTCTCTAAGGTAATCGTTAATACTTGAATCTGGGCTATCTGGGTCAAAACGCTTCAGATCTTTGGCCTGAGGTTCTATCTGCCTGGTTCGCAGGCCCTGACCCGAAGGCTGGCGAGGGTCGTCCGATTCGTCTGATGAATCGTAAGCCCTGTGGTTGTCACGGTAGTAGGGTTGTAACCGTGGCGGGGTTTGTGTTCGGCTCAGACGTGGCCGTCTATCGTGGGACAGGTAGCGTTCGGTGCCCAATTGGGCCGTGTCTCCTCCCTGTCTCTAGGGGGAGTAAAGCCTCTCCTCCTGCGGGGTGAGGGTTCTCTTCGCTCAAAGCGTATGGCGGAACGCGGGGGCCCTTCCTCTTTACTCATCCTACTCTTTACCGGGTGGTCTGAGGACGTGGGCGCTTTTGTGCCTGGGTCGACCCGGCAGTGCCTTCCCTCTCTCCAGATCCTGCAACATGTCTGTCTCCCTCCTCCAGGGGCTTGTTCAGTCTCCCATCCTTCATCTGAGGTTTCCTCATCTGATCTGGGGCTGAAGTCCTTCTCTGCCTGTCCTGAACTCTGGGTACCATATCACTTCGTTTCCTCTGTTCGGCCAGTTTGCTGCTTTCGTGCAGTGTTTTATCTCCTCCTGCAGGGCCTTGCAATTTTCCTGCAAGGTCTTTAGTTTATCCTGCATTCTTTCGAAGTCGTCCCGCAGATCTGTCCTTCTTCTAGTACCCGGGCTAGCTGTTCCCGGTGTATCTCATTCTGCACATTTGATTTGCGCTGATAAAGGAGGAGAATTTCGCCTAGAACATCTGAAGCTGTACGTGTTGGCTTCCCAGTTGGTTGATTTGCATATTCAACCAAGCCCTTTAGTTCTTTTCACATGTGCTGAGGGTGTAGGAGTTCAGGCTGTCGAGCTGCTCTATAGGGAGGTGGATAAGATTAGCAACTACGTCTTGAAGGGGTGGATCGTCTGATCCATAGTGAGCTTTGGCCCATAGTTGATGTATGTCTTCTGCATACATTCTGTCTTTATTAGGGGTGAGCCTGGCTCTGTGGTTGACAAGATCAACTAGCTCTTCTAACTTCTTATCACTAATGCTAATTGACTAGCTATATAGGTTGGCACTCTCCTCTGAGGAGAGGTTCGTCAGACCGGCAGCAGTTTCTTGCAGTGCTGCGTCGTCTGATCCAAAAGGAGTCTCCTCCCGACTCACCTAGGTCTTGGTACACAAGAGCAAATCTTATCTAAGTTTCCCAACTGATCACTGCAGTCTATCCTGGAAGATAGGAGAGGGGATTCACACCTCAAGTCCTCAAAGGAAGGAGGAACTCACACCTCTCAGACAGCTGGCTATGCACAATGATGAGGTTACACTCTCATCTGGCCAAATGGCTCTCAAACAACAAGGAGCACCACAATCCTTTAGTCGAATACTTCAGGATCAAAATCTAGATTAATGCAACAAATCAAGTTCCTTGATAAAGTCACACTAGCTGCATCATTATGTCCAATTGTTGTATGGACCCAAAGGGGACAACAGTTATGGCTTTAACCATTAACTAACAACACAACACAACTAAGCCACAGCTTGATGTCTGCTTTGCTTAAACCACAAAAATTTAAAGAAAATATAATTTTCTTCCGAAGGATCCTTTTTAGGATTTTAAGTTTGGATTACTGTGCATTTACAGTGCAATAAAGCTGGTTTATTGAAGGCCTCACACGGGCACCATTTGTTGGGGTTGTATCAAGTCAACTTTGGTTATATTCTTTAATAATTATACTTAATTATTAATAATATAAATAAAATATCATTAAACTATGTTTAATCTCGTTTTGGGGCACCAACCTGTAATCAGGTAAATATAACCAAAATATCACTCAAATCAGTCTCAAATTAGTTATTTAATTACTAATTATTAATAATGAATAACTATATTTAATAAATTGAAGGCGTGAAATCCGTACACAAAGCCTTCGCACCCAGCTTATATCACAATGTAAATACACCAGTAACCACAAACAACTGCTCTCTTAAATTATAACAGAATTTATTTAAACAAAGCAACATCAATCCAAAATCAATGAACTTAATTAAACAAATAACTATTATAAACTAATCTAAGCAACAAACATTATCAAGCAAAGGCTTGTGGAAGGGTGTGAATGTAGGTGTGTGTGTGTGTGTGTGTGTGTGAGAGAGAGAGAGAGAGAGAAGAAGAAAGGGGGGAGATGGCTTCGTACCCTCGTGGTCGTTCACGATGGCGCAAACCTAACAAAGACCTGGGTGCGTGCGCGTGTGGATGAAAGGGAGAGAGAAGGGGGGAAGATTACTTCGTCCCACGTGGTCGCCCTTCCGATGGCACACACCTAACAAAGGCCTAAATGTGGCCTTAAGGTCTAAAAGAGACTGAGTTCGCCCTACACAGTCTGTGTCTCTGAGGCGTCTGGATAGCCGCGAGTGTATAGATCTCTGTGCGTAATGGCGCGGTGGTGGAGTTGGTCTCCAGATGTACGTTTACACAGGAATATGTGTGTATGTGTGTGCGTAGAAGGGAAATAAAAGAGAAAAAAGAGAAATGCGTGCCTGAAGAGGCCGGATCACAGTCCGACTCCCGCGCCACAACTCGGAGTAATTCCCTTCATTCACAGAAACAAACCAATAGCCGAATTCAGTTAATACAGCTTACACTGGCCTTTCTGATTAGAAGAGTAATACCCGGTTATAACGCTGTTACGCTAAACACATATAGGACGCAGCGGTCCGAAACAACAACAAGAGTTTTAAACAGTTAAAACTCAGGACGCAGGTCCAACAAAGATAAAAATTACAGTTTCTGCTTTGATCAACAATTGTTAAAAACACTCTCTAAAGCTAATTCTGCCCAGACCTAATTAAGCCTCACTTGTGAATCGTTTTGTCCGCGATTGGTGAAAGGAAAAGAGTCCGGCGATGGAGCAGATCTTCTGTCCGTCCTGGTGCAGAGGCGTCTGATGGCGGCGAGGGTCCGTTACGGCGAGAGCGGCTTCGTTGGTTCTCCGTCGAGTGGAAAAATGTCCTTTGATGTCCTTTCGTTGCAGGACGGAATAAGACCGTTATCTTTCTGATAATCTGTTATAGTCTGACGCTCTCCGAGAAACTGAGATGCGTTCACTGGACAATCCGAGCTCGGAATTTAGAACACTGCCGGCCGCGGATTACCTGCGCGCCAAAATTTAAAACAAAGGAAGATTGTTGCAGGAAACAGGAGATCTTCTTGGGTCTCCGAGCACCGAAGGTCAGCACGTGAAAGAGGTCGAGCAATGGAAGTCTTGGAGTTTTGTAGCCTGGCCTGCTCCATGGGGGTCTACCTCAGGTCTCCTCCAATGAGGAGAGAGAGGTTCCGGTCCCCCCTTTACTTCACACGTAGGTGTGAAGTACCGCAGGGGATTCTGGGATTAAGAGTCCTTTTAGGCCTCTTTGTGATCTCAGTGAATAACTCAAATGAGGCTTTTACAGAGGTGCAGGCCCAAGTCCATTGTATGACTGTTCTAAGCCTGCGTGGCCCAACAGTCTGATCATTCTCCATCCAGTCTCATATATCCACTTCATCCTGTACATTTGTCTTTTTAATGTTGATTTCATCCATGTATTGTTTATTTGTTGTTTTTATCTCTGCTTTGTAAGGTGACCTTGAGTGTTTTGAAAGGCGTCTTTAAATAAAATGTGTTCTTATACTCTCCTGTTTTTCAGAATATGTCACTGAGCTCACCAACCTCCTCTTTAATGAGGTCATTCGTGACCCTGAACCTTTCGTAGCTGCCCTGAAGGAAGTAGCTGTTCCAGGGTTCCTCTGCTCCCAGTATGAGCGACCTGACAAGGCAGATGCAGTTGCCAGCCAAATGTCCAGGTTCAGCTGTCCAGGTAAGGGTTGGCTCCTCCAACACATTGTGGCTAAATGCCTGTTTATCCACAAGTCTGCCTAAATCAGTATCACAACATTTATAATGAATATAATCAAGCACAGATCCAGCTCCACAGCCCTGATGACACAAACACCTGCTGAGAGTGAGAGGAGGGGAGAGGACACCAACTAAAGAACCCAGAACTATGAGGAACGGAGGAAGTCAAGTTAGTAACATACATGTGTCCAGACAGAGAGGGAATGGAGGAAGATATTAGTAGTTTATTATAGAAATGAAATAACTTTCTATAAAATACATGTCCAAACATAACAATACATAAATACTTTCCCTCTTCATCAGGGTACTCCTGGTGGATACAGACAACAACGCAGGAAGGTATCACTACCCGGTTGTGCTTTCCCAGGTATCCCCAGCACCAGGAAATGAAGGATGCCAGGTAGCGAGCGCGCCTATAATGACAAACACAAAAAAGCAATGTGATGTTATGTTCATCAAGATTTGTTTGAAGTTAAGTGGTCTTATAGTCTTGTTTTGTCATGTTTTCTGTCTTATACAGCACATCATGATCCCAAGAAGATGAAAGATGGATCAACCTGCAGCGTGTCTGAAATCTATTTGGCTGTATGGATTGGCCTGGACATTTGTTTTTTTTTTCTTTCTCTGTTTTAACTTCCATGAATTATCCACAACCATACATTTGTAATTTTGACTAATCAGTTGTTGTGAAGCGTTATCACAAAATGTTCAATTTGTTAGATTTTTATACATGTTGTATATCCTAGTTCTCTATTGTTCTCTGAGGCTGGGACTAGTTCATGCATTTGTTACCTCCAGGTTGGATTATTGTAATTATTGTAATTCTCTCTCTGGATGGATAGGCCGGGTCTTTGTAACATAACAATGAGTAAGGTCTTTTACCTGCTTTTTGTAAAGTGTCTCGAGATAACACTTGTTATGAGTTGATGCTATACAAATAAAAATGGATTGATTGATTGATTCTTGGATTATTTAAATTTGTCTGGAGGCAACACGTGAGTGCAGGATTTCTATTTATAGCTCAAGAGACACTTTAAATTGTTATTGTTTGGCTGATCCTAACAATACCAAAACTGAGAAAAACTAACATTATCAAACAAACTGTTTTTCCTAAAACTCTCAGCTTTACTTTACTCTTCATTTCTCAAAGAGATGCATTCAGTTTGACTAACAGAACTTATTTTGACATTCCTAAATAAATATGCAGTTTTCAGACATACACAGCTCTGTCTGGCTTCGGCGCATTCTCTGGAGCCTCCCAGAGGAGAGAGAGCAGCTACATGTTTCAGGATTTTGAAGCTTCATTTTATAAACTTACAAGTTTTTTTCATTGCTGAAATCTGGCCTGGTGGTAATAATACATTCTTCTTTTGTAAAAAAACTAAAAAACATATTTATTTTTTTGGTTTACAGGGACTTTAAATACGTTGGTGATAGAAATGTGAGAATATTATTAAAATAAACACATGTCGAACTTACTATTACCAGACATGTGTTAAAACAACTAAAGTATGATCTTAGATAAATAAGAAGTCCATATTTACCTGTAAGATGTAGATTTTAAACTGTTAAGGCGCTGACATAACCACCCGATACAAAACATCATACGCCTTCAGTTCACCGGAACGGACACATTTCGACGTTGCACCAACTTCTCATAAATACAAACAGAACAATTTAATCACAAGTGTATTTTAACCTACTTTATCTTGATTCAATGAATCCACGCTCGTTTGTTTTGATTTGGAGGCGGACGTGACGATTTACGTTTATTTTCGCACAGCATTGTGGTAAAATACAATTCATTTCCTGAAAGCACGCATCCGATCCATACTGCATGAAACCAGGAAGTTAGTATCCATACTGAACGACCACGAAAGTTCAGTATAGAAAGTTAAGTACGTACTGCCTACTGAACTGTGGCTATTCGGAAAGGGCCCGTATGTAACCTCAGGGTGCGTTGGAATTGTCCCTCCTATCTCCTTTCACTATCCACTTCACCTTAACCCCGGGGAAAACGTCATGAGGTTAAGGAAAGATGTTAGGAGAATTCATAAAGGACTTAGGGAAAGGCGATCTCGTTGCTCTGACAATCCGACCACATTTTCCACTAGGCCACGTCTTTGGTGCAATTGTGCCAATAGGTGCCTCCGCTGCACTGAACTCTTAACTCAGTTATGCGTGTTGCTTCTTACAATTGTCGAGGTCTGCGTGTTGGAAACAGCGCAGGGGATAGAGCCCGACGAATAGTAATAGACAACTTGTTACAAAACTGTGACATTCTGTGCCTACAGGAAACGTTCTTAAGCAAACAGGATTTGGGAAAGCTGAACACTTTTAATGACAGTTTCCTTGGGGCTGGTGAATCGACTACTGATCTGACTTTGGACTGGTGAGGGACGAATAGCAGGGGAGTGGCCATCCTGTGGCATAAGACGCTGGACTCTGTGATCAAAGTAATCAGAACAGAAGTAGATTGGTGCATTGCTGTGCAGATAAATATAGGAAATAAAGAGTTATTATTTAATGTATATACACCTTTTGAGTGTCAAGACAGTGAAGATATATATTTAAATCGTCTTGCTTTTATTAACTCATTTATTCATGAGAATACTTGCACAAGTGTGTACATTGTTGGTGATATGAATGCTGACATGTCAGATAAAAGTTTGCTATTTGCTCGACATATGATACAATTCTGTGAAGATAACAATCTGATATTGTCCAGCCAATTGCTGTTACCTGCAAGTAGCTATTCCTACATAAGTGAAGCCTGGCACACTACTTCTTGGCTTGACCATTGCATCTCCACTGCAGATGCCAATTCTATTCTGCAGTCAATGAGTATCCTGTATGAGACATCTCTAGCTGATCATGTACCATTTGTTATGATTCTTGATGTTGATGGTCTCCCTGAGCTGACCACTAAGGTTAAAGGGGCCTGCGGGGCGAACTTGCATTGGCCCAAACTCACAAATGAGGACTTATTGTCATATTATGGGAAAACTGATTTTCTCTTGAGTGATCTATATTTACCCAAAGATGCTGTCATGTGTTCAAGTGTAAACTGTAATGATATATCTCATGGGAAATCCCTCTGTTCCTTGAATGATGGAATTATAGGAGCTATGCATGAGGCCAGTAGATCATACCTCACTTGCTCTAAGAAGGCATTCAACATCAAACCAGGCTGGAATACACATGTGGCTATACATCATGCAGCAGCAAAGGAGGCTTTCAAGGCTTGGAATCAGGCAGGTCGACCCAGACAGGGGCCTGTCCTGGATCACAAAAAGCTCACAAATGCTAGATTGAAATCTGCTGTCCGTTTTGTGGGTAAAAATGAGCAGGTAATGAGAGCAGACTCATTGGCTGAAAAACTGCTCTGTAACAAAGTCATGGATTTTTGGAAAGATGTAAGAGCTTTAAATAAGGGAGCAGCTGTGCTACCGAGCACAATAGAGGGAGTCTCTGGACCAGATAACATTGCTGAGATATGGAGGTAACATTACTATTCTTTATTTAATTGTGTGAAAGGGGACCCATACCATTTGGGAAACATTGCTAGTAGTGATATTGAGGGTTTTACAGCCACTGAGGTCCATCAAGCAATATTGCAGCTTGCTAAAAATAAGGCAAGTGGCTCAGATCAAATCACTGCAGAGCACCTCAAGTTTGCTACCCCAAAGGTTGCTATTCTTCTTGCTATCTGTTTTACCGGTCTAATGACTCATGGCCTGCTACCAGACTCCATGTTGTCCGTCACTTTGGTGCCTGTGATCAAGGACAAAGCTGGCAAGGTTGGGAGCCTAGATAACTACAGGTCTATTGCTTTAGCCAGTGTGGTATCTAAGGTCCTTGAGAGTATTCTTTTAGGGCGGATATCTAAATATATTGGTACCACAGATAACCAGTTTGGTTTGAAATCTAAGCATGGTACTGATCTTTGTATTTATGCCTTGAAAGAAGCTGTTGAGGTATATAGGAGGAAAAACTCCTCAGTCCTGATAGGATTTGTTGATGCCTCTAAGGCCTTTGATCGTGTCAATCATCGAAAGTTGTTTATGAAACTAAGTGAAAAGGGGGTCCCTGATTACATATTAAGGCTTCTGGCGTACTGGTATGCCAACCACAGTATGCAAGTCAAATGGGGAGATACGATTTCCTCCCCCTTTGGAGTGAGCAATGGTGTGCAACAGGGCGGTTTGCTTTCTCCTGCACTCTTTAACTTGTACATGGATGATCTATCTAAACAACTGAATGGTTGCAAAACTGGTTGTGTGTTGGGTAACCGTATAATCAATCACCTCATGTATGCTGATGATTTGGCAAATTTTTTCCCTGCAGCGCTGGGTTCAGCAGCTGCTTAATATATGTTCTGATTATGGTCGAACATATGATGTGCAATACAATGCTACAAAGAGTACTGTTTTGATATGCAGAACAAAAGGGGACAAGGACCTAAACTTTCCTAATTTATACCTGTCAGGACAGGTGCTGAGTGTGAGCACCAAAATAAAATATTTAGGTCACTTTATTACGGATCAAATGTCCGATGACGACATGTACAGACAATGTTGAATGTTATATGCCCAGGCCGATATGTTGGCAAGAAAATTCTCAATGTGTACAGTCAATGTTAAGAAAACTCTATTCAGAGCATATTGTACTCCTCTGTATACTGCCCCTTGTGGCCATGTTTAAAAAAGGCAAGCTTACAAAAAGTCAAAGTTGCATACAATGACTCCCTGAGAATACTGTTTAAAAAACCTCCATGGACTAGTGCGAGTGAGTTATTTTGTAATGCAGGAGTAAAACTTTTCAGGCTCTTATGAGAAACTTAATGTACAAATGTATCTGCCGATTGAAGGATTCTCAGAATTCCATCATTATGCTGTTGACTAATCCCAGTCATAGTTCTGTGTGATACCAGTCATCCTTGTGGCGACACTGGTACAGTTGTCTTTTATAATATTGGTGATGTTTTGTCTGTCTGTATGTGTATTTACCCTGTGTTTTATTCTGCTTGTTTTTTTATGTCTTCTAATGGACTCCTGAGTCTGGTAATAAAGATGATGATCATGACGGGCCGGTGGAGGTTAATGACGTGGGTCTGCCGTGTGAAACTACAATGTTCAGAAAATGGACTACTAAAAGCGCTTCTAAAAACTTTCCCCTGTGCCTTCTTACCGGTGAAATAATCCTAATTACCACAAGGTTGGGATTGAAATAAAAGAAATATAGAATACCAGGCTACAAGTAAGAAAAGTGAAACCATCAGCTTCCTGTCCACTCAGAAATCAACATCAACATAAATATGATTGGATGAAATCAATTGTTACATTTATGTAAGATATAACCTCCACACTCTG